CTATATCTATATATATATATATATATATATATATATAATAAAAGGATACATACATACATATATATTTGCATTTAGAGAAGGAAAACACCACCTTTGGTTTCTGCAATGCCTCAAAGAAGTTGGTGGACATATCAGCCCTGCTGAGGGCAGCGAAAGCTCACTGTTTACCGGGTCTGGGGGTCTGTATGCAGCTGGAGGATCTGATGCAGAATCTGAGACTGATGACGAGAGACATTATAGAAGGTAATTGCAGTCAGATCAGAAGCACTGAAAAACATATTTACATTCCACTGGATCTTTATTGTGATTATTATGCATGTCACATTCAGGTGATTAGATGCACATATTTCATGCACTGTCTGTAATTCCCATAGGAGTGTCATCAGACGAAGTTCTTGGACCGGATGAGTTTATGAACTGTAAGAAGGCCCATGAGGTGCAGGCAATGTCTGAGGTTGTGGCTAGTTTGGCCAAATGCTGTCGAGTCAAACAGGTAAAAATGTTTAAAATGTACTTTAGTTAAAAACAAACTGAATTTCATCTTTTTCATCATCTGTTTCTTCATCTCAGGTGATAGACGTGGGTTCAGGGAAAGGCTATCTGTGCTCCTATCTGTCCATGCGGTTCAACCTGCAAGTGTTCGGGATCGACTCCTCCAGCACCAACACGCATGGAGCTCATGAGAGAAACAGGAAACTGAAGAAGTTCTCCAAAGCCTATCAGAAACCGGACAGAGCCACTAAGAAACAACCTTTGGATAGTGAGGATGGGAGTAAACAACACAGCAGAAACTTTGAAAACAGTGATGGCCACAAAAACTTTATTACTAAGGAAAAGGAAAGTTTTGGGGCTCAAGCGGAAACCAGTGCTTTATCAAGACAAGTCACCAATGATTTATCCACTTCAGATAATGCCGCAGTATGTTCATTAGACCCAAATGATTCAGATTCAGGAAGCAGCTTCCTCAGTATGCTGTCTCTGGACGTCATAGAGGACGTCTCTCCCCGCGTCCACCCCAGCCAGCTGAGTCTGGAGGACAGGGAGAAGAGGAAGAGAGAGAATCTGGAGAGGAAAACTCGAGAATGGAGGGGGAACGACAGCGACGGCAGCCTGTTTTCCCCTCTGACCTCATATATCACTGCAGAAACTGAGCTCAAGACGCTGATCACAGAGCTGGAGGTGAAGAGATGTCATAATACAGGGGGTTCTGACCAAGGGAGACAAATATAATAATAATAATAATAAACCAATTATTTAATTTATTATTATTATTATTATTATTTAATTAAAAATAATTATTATTATTTATTCACTATAAAATAATTAGTAATACATGGAAAACAAATAATGTTTAAATAAGTGTTGTTAAATATAATAATAATAATAATAATAAAACTAATAGTGTATTATTCATTCAAAAATCAAATAACCAGGGCAGGGAACATGGTGTACATGTAAAACAACAATAATAATAATAATAATAATAATTTATTAAATCAATTATTTAAATTATTTATTAATAATAATTATAATAATAATTAAAATGTGAAAAGAATATATATTACAATCATATCATCGTATAATATCATGTTCAAAATACTAATTATGTGCTCAAACTGTATTCTTCCATTTTATTTGTAGCATTACGTTTTTGTGTTGTGAATTCATTTCATTCTCTCAGGATCAAATAATTCATGTATACTAAACTCATATGATAGCACAAGAGAAACTCTATGCTGCAATAGTTGTCCAGCTGTGGGCTTTGATTATGGAGCTGAAGTTGTACCATTGCTGTTACAGCTCAGCGAGACGCCTGCGATTATCCTAATCATGTTAATTAGGTGAAATTGAGCTCAAGAATGGAGAGGGACTTGGATGTGTCCATAGCAAATTATCTATGATCAATGAGAGATGGCAAACAGTCTGTGTTGATTTCACTAAATTACCTTTTTTTTTTTTCCTCCCTCTCTTTTCTCTGGCTGGTGCCCAGGATGCAGTTCTGGTTGGCCTGCATACATGTGGAGATTTGGCCCCCAGCACTCTGCAGATGTTCAAGGCCAAACAGGAGCTGCGCGCCGTTTGCAGTGTGGGCTGCTGCTACCACCTGCTCTCTGAAGAGTTTGATCAGGACAGACAGGGTAAGAACACTTCCTGTCGTACACACACACACACACACACACACACACACACATGTCTGGTCAGCTATCCTTGTGGGGACATCCCATAGGCGTAATGGTTTTTCTACTGTACAGACCGTATATTCTATTGCCCTACACCAACCCTACCCCTAAACCTACCCCTCACAGGAAACTTTCTGCATTTTTAGATTTTCAAAAAACTTAATTCTGTATGATTTATAAGCTTTTGTACCCGTGGGGACCACAATTTAGGTCCCCACCGTGACACGAGTCCCCATGAGTCTGTGTGTAGTCAGGTTTAAGTCCCCACCAGGATATATAAACCAGTACACACACACACACACACACACACGTGGACAGATCAGTCTCTATTAGACTGGGTGCCCAAGTCAAGACAAGACAAGCTGTGTGTAATTGCATTTCTCTGTATAATGTTCTTTACAGCAATGTGTAGCTCTGTACCAATACTGGGTGTAAAAAAAAAGTAAAATAATAGTAACAAATTTTTTTTAAAATTATTATTATTATTGTTGTTGTTTTTTATATATAAAATGCATTATTTTATGCTGAATGTTTTTTGTTGTTGTTTATTTATTTATTAAATAAGTAAATTATATAATAATAATAATAATAAGTATTATTATTATTATTATTATCTATAAAGATTATCATTTACAAATATATACCATTCTAACAATTATGATATTAATTATTATTCAATAATGAATTAAAACTTGTATAACAGTTATAATAATAACTACAACATTGATAATAAATGTGTTATTCATTATAAAATAATTAATCAAAATTATTATTATTATATTTATTATTTTATAATGAATAATATATTATTTTATAATGAATAATAATTGATAAATTGTTGTTTATTAAATAAAATTACTTAATTCATTATTTAATAATAATTTTATTATTAGAAAAATATACTAATTTGCAATTATAAATATAATTTTAATTAATTGTAAAATTATTATTATTATTATTATTTAAAGTTTACTAGGCTCCAAAACAACTCCATTAGACTTTCATTGTGTGGACAAAAAGCACTCTGTTTTTCAAAATATCTTTGTCTGTGTTACGCAGAGAAATGAATCATATAGCTTTGTAACGACATGAGAATAAGTAAATGATGACACAATTTTTATTTATAGGTGGACTTTTCCTTTAAGACTTGGTGTTAGTTTTAAGAGAGCATGTGGTTTCTGTCTGTCTCTCTCTTAGACACTTTCTCATAAAGGAGACAGCACATAAAGGATTGGAGTGCCTTCAGAATCTAATATTTTGATCACATAATTACTGTGCTATGAAGCACAGCAGGGCTACAATAATATCTCATTGTCTTTTAAAGCCTGGTGATCACACCACAGGCTCTCGATTGCTGCAGGGACAGAGTTAAAAGGCATGAAGTGTGTGCAGACGTTGGACTGACATCACAAACACTCTCCCCTTCAACAGACTGTCTGTTAGATCTCACTAACTCAAGAAGAGTCAGTACAACATGTGGCGTTTCAGCATGATGATGTCGAGAGTTTTCAGGGCTTCAGCGGCTCGCTTTACAAGCACGATTGTTCTGAAGAAGAGACAAAATGTAATCAAACAAATGCAGTTCCAATGGAAATGAACATGGTTTCTTTTAGTCTCAAAACCCTGTAAGCTTACAGCATGCTGTGCACTTAAAGGTGAAGTGTGTCATTTTGTTTCACTAGCAGCATCCCACAGATTTATGAAGATTTTGCATAGAATTTCACTTGCCTGAGCAGAATTTACTGCTATGATCTTTTCATTTTGACAGCGTAATACTTTTTACACAATATCTCCTCTCAGGCCGTGCATTTGCTGACTCAATTCAGAAGAGCCCACGCAATGTCACCTACTTAAACAGAAAACAGGAAGTCCCACCCACAAACATCATTTGGTTAAGCAGTCGCTTATTTATAGTGCATTAAATTAATATTTTCATTAAAAAAAAATACACACTTCACTTTTAAATGTTTTATTATCATACGCAAACTGAAGAGCCTTTAGTTTAACACCCCACAGCAACTGGTCTCCTCAAGACAGTGTTGAAGTTTCATAATGAAATTGCTGATATTGTTTTGCACACTGTCCCTCTCTCAGGCGTTTTTTTTTTTTACGCACAGCTCATTCTGTATCTCACACATTTTTCAGGCCTGTGCTGGACTGGTTTAGATTAGCATGATAGCTGGAGTAAACAGTGTTTATCTGCGTCACGAATAGGCCTCAAACCACAGCGTGGGTCTTGTTTGAATGGCATGTGTTCAACAGGTTCTCATCCACATAATGTTTAGCGTTCAGTTTTAAAATGCAATAAAAAGTTTGGGGTTGTTAAGATTTTTAATGTTTTTGAAAGAAGTCAAAATGTTCACCAAGGCAGCTTTTATTTGTTCAAATATGCAATAAATACAGTAATATTGTGAAACATTTTTACGATTTAAAATAACAGTTTTCTATTTTAATATATTTTGAAATATAATTTATTCCTGTGATGCAAAGCTGAATTTTCAGAAGGCTTTAGGCTTCACTGTCACATGATCCTTCAGGAATCATTCTAATATCCTGATTTGCTGCTCTAGAAACATTTCTTATTATGATCAAGGTTGGAAAATGGTTGGAAAACACTTTTTACATGATTCTTCGATAAAAAGAAAGTTCAAAAGAACAGCATTTATTTGAAATAGACATCTTTTATAACATTATAAATGTCTTTACTGTCATCTTTGATTAATTTGAATGCATCCTTGCTGACTAAAAGAATAATTTCTTTGAACAGTATTTTTATGTTAAAAGCTGTTTGATTTCATCTCTGTTTTTTGTGTTGTTTTGTGGCTGTTGCTCAGGGTGTGTCGATGGTGTGTGTGGTTTCCCTATGAGTCAGTATCTGAAGGCTCAGGCGTGTTTCTGTGGTCGAAATGCCAGGATGTCAGCTTGTCTCGTAAGTCTGGCTCACACGTCACAAATAACATCACATTGCCCACGCATCTTCAACCACATCCTTTGCCTATTAGCTGATGAATCTTGCATCAAATTTGAACTCTAAATATATAATCTTTTAGGTGTTATTTTTTTAGATGAGCACATAATGCTATTAAACTGAAAGCAAAACTCAAACCATGATATCATGTGTTTAGTTATCACAAGTTTTTCAATTCAAGCTTGTTTCCAGCAGACTTGGCTGATGATGAGCTCTTCACAAACTCTTTTTATTCCCCTCTCAGGCTCTGGAGAGAGTGTCTGCTGGAGGAGGGGTGAGTATTGATTGTGTAATAATTCAATTAAAAGCCCATTTCTCCTGCAGAATTTGCATAAAAAGAGGGCAGTCTCATGCGATCAAGGCTGTCTGCACAGCTGATTGTAATGCCAGAATGTACAGCATATGCGCCTATGCATATTTGTCTGATTTAATTAGACGCACTGTGTATTTTAATATGATTTTTCTTCTTTTAAATATGATTGATAGTTCAGAGGTGAAGCAGTCAGCATGAACACTCTTACTGTCTTCTGCATGTCTGATTGTTTGGATGACATAATTGTCATGGAAAATATGAGATAATCTGTTTTTAAAGTTGCCACAAGTGGGACAAACATTTCAAATGAAGTAATTAAAAATATAACTAAGTAAGCAAACATGACCAAGTAAGCATGCATTGTGTAAGTAAGCAAAATCAGCTTTGAAATGAAAGAAAATGATTTGGATTGTGGTTAAAAAGGTTTTTTGTCTGTTACAGCTGCCTATGGAGTCACTTTTTTATCGGGCGGTTCTTCATGTTATTTTACGGGATCACTATGATTCCTTTAAAAGGTATTTATACTAAAACATATAGCCGTATATATATATATATATACTTATATATAGGCCTATATACTGTATATACAGTAGTCAACATTTGAAGTGTATCAAAACCTTTCATCAAAGTTGTCCTAAAACCAAAATGCGCTGTTGTCTTAGGACAACTTTGATGAACTTTTTTGATCCACTTCAAATGTTGACTACTATATACTATATCACATATATAGTAAATTAAAATTCAGATAACATCATTTTCAATATATATATATATATATATATTTATATATACACACACACACACAGTACACTTTTATTAGACTACATATTATATAGATTACAGATTATATAAATATACATAAATACATTAATTATGTGTATTATATATTTATCTAAAGATATATTTAGATATATTTACTTAGATATATTTATCTAAGTATCTAAAATGTAATTGTTTTATTAATTTAAAATATTTTTTTTATTTAAAATCATTAAGTCTATATCTCTTGTTCTGTCCATCATATGCACCATCATATAAAGTGCATTATAGATTTTGTGCCAGGCTGAATTTTTTTTTTTACTGTGTCATACAATCTATTAATATTAATAGTTCAGTAGCTCAGGCTGTTTTATGGCTTTCAGATAAATGTAGACACTAAACTAATTGTTGCCAAAGCAAATCTTCACGATTTAAAGAACCATATTACCAACTATTGAAGGTTTGGCAGTAAATTATAGTTCAATTAAAAAATAAAATAAAAACAAAAGTCCTGGCTTTGAAACAGTCTGTAAAAACGGAAACACACTCCCCGGATCCCCTGATGAGCGACTCTCAGTCGGAAACACACACGATGACCAATATTGAGCTCCCACACTGACGCCGTTCCCCTCCAAAAGACCAGGATCAGATATCTCTCACCACATCATCAGCTCATTAGACAGAAAACAACCGCCTGTCTTTGTTTTAGTCGCCGGAGAGCTTTAGTAAACTAGAGGAGAGAATAAAGAGGCTCCAGATTCCCTCTGGTCCTTCCTTCCTTTTTGCGGAGGATGAGAAATGTTTATTGAGATACTTGATCGTGGCTGCAGAGAGCAGATCTGATTCAGTGCTGACTGATGCTCGTGACTCAAACCCTAAAGCCCTGTTTTCAGGTTTAATAAGCTTCTGTGAGTCAAAGCCAAACCATCAGGTTACGGTAATGTGCAAGTCAACAAGGAGTGCTAAGTTCACCCCCTACATGTGACTTACTGTCACATAAAAAAATCTGTTTAAAAAAATCATTTTTGAATTATCTGATGGGTATTTCATTTTCTATTGGCAGTGAGAAACGTGTTGGGAATGTGTACTCCAAAGCCTCGTCGTTTGTGGACTATGTCAGACGAGCACTTAGGAAGCTGGATCTGGATGACACCACAGTAATAACCAAATGTTCTCACGTTACATTTAATGTTTTCTCAGTCTGCCCACATGTATCTGAATTACACAATAAAGCTAATGAGATGAACAGCCTAAAATATGTTTGACACGTAGGGAAATATGGGAACAGATAGCAAGAGACAGTTAAAAAGGCTTCACCAGGCCCACATTGTGTCTTTGGACTTGTTTGTACCCTGATTTTGAGGGAAAATCTGCAGAATTCTGTTAAACAGTAAAATAATGTATACTGTATTATATTTTATATAAATATATTATTTAATATATTTTAAAATGTAATTTATTTCTGTGATGGTGAAGATGAAATATATGAAGTCTTATGAGTCACATAATATGCTGATTTGGTAAGATTTTGCCATAATATACATAACATTTTTTACTAGTCAAGAGTAGAGATTATATAAATAGATTTATATAAATATATATTATTTTCATATAAATTTGTATTTTTTTTTTAATATAAAACTTTTTTTACTTTGCAATCTAATAAAAAATACAATGTTAATTCTGTTAATCTGTAAAATATAAAAATATTTAATATTACATATAAAATATTTGTCATATTTTACATTTCTTTTTATTTTGCAATATATGTGTGTGAGTTTAAACTACATTTTTACTAGTCTAAAGTACATATATGTTATAGTTATGTACATATATTTACTTGCAAATAAAATATTATTTCTAAAACTATTTAAAAAAAATTTTAAAAATGTTTTACACATGCATATATTTAGGGAATCATCTTATTCCTTTATTTCTTTAAAATTGCTTTCAATTTTTTTTTCTTCTCTTGTTGTCTTCAGCTGTCTGACGGTGACATTCAGAGCTATCATGAACTCTACAGTCCCAGAATGAATGAGATGGTGGCTTTTAACATGGTGAGTATGACAGAGAAACTTGTACGTCCTTTATTTTCATTATGAACTCCATATCTGTCTCATGCTGCTTTTCATCTTCCTCAGTTGAAAGTCACTTTGGCTCCGTGTATAGAGGGTCTCATCCTCCTTGACCGACTTTGCTACTTGAAAGAGCAGGTAACAAACCATTTGTAGGACAGATAACAGTACTTGTCAGTACTTGTTAACCCTCTGCACTGCAGTATGTTTATCCCTTACATTTGTGCATGTTAAGATGTTTAATCCTCAGATAATTAGAGAAGTGTGAGGGGCTTTTTGTTTCTGGCTTTACTTCAGGACCACCACACAGGTTGCCCAAGTCAACAACTTACTCTCACAGCATTTATACCAACAGACTTTAGCCAAATAAAACAGATCCAAAATAGTAAAAAAAAAAAAAAAAAGCTTACAGGAGTTCAG